TGGGTAACATAAGTTTGTAAGCTTATCCAGTTGACAGGGGAAGGTTGTAGCCGTAATACATATCTGTGCATTCAGTCTTTCAATTGCTTATGCACTTACTCAATAATTCATTCGCTCACTTATGCACTTATTCACTCGTATGGGAAGCGGCGGTGGCATGGTAATAACGAAAAGTTTTGCTTTGAAACGCGAAGGTCCTACTTTTCAGATTTCATGCGCGGCATATAAAAGTTTCTTGGTCAATGACATGCCTAGCTTTGCTTCTGTGCGACCAGCCCGAAAACGAAACCAATAGCAACTCGTACTACTGGAACGTTTGAAGGCGTGTCGGACGCGTCTGCCTGTGCGACCCCAAAGAGCGGTCATGGAAACTGATTGACTGATTGCAAGTCGTTGAATCGCAAATAGTAGAATATGTATCATGTTCTGTTTTTTTTGCGTTGATGTGATCGTCATTGAATCCTTGCGTGAGGGACTACTATTCTTAAGCTCATCTCGTCGGCAGGACGACAGTCGGATTGCCATGATTTTGTGCGTATGCCGGAATATGAACGCAACACCTCATTTCACGATTATTCTGCTTACATGCCTCTTGCTCCTTTTTTCCTTGGTTGGGGTGACGGAATTTAAGTAGGCAACTAATACGTGGTCTTGAAGGAGTTATTCATTATTTCACATACTCCAGTGTACGACCACATTTTGATGATCCAGCTTTTCTTCGTTCGTTCTTGATGATCGCGCGGTGGCTCTAGCGAACAAAACGGTCCATGGTGCATCTGGCACCGTAGGTGGTCAAATCCCATACAGCCGTGGCCTGATTAAATGGCTCCATTAATCATATGGCAAAGGGACAGTGCAATACGCCGTGAAATCTAGTCTTGGGAGAATTATGCGTTGTGGTATATTGTATTTCACGTTTATGTGTGCGGAATCACTTTGTCTCATGCTTGCGCTTCAGGACTACAATCCGCCTTCACCTACCAGGTAGCTAATCATGTAGTGTGGTAATTATTACGAAGTACTGTAAATTCATTTTTCATTCATTTAGTCATGCTCAATGTGTCATAAATCAAGCAAAGCCCATAAGGCCTGGATTCTAATATCACCCTGCCAAAGACTTAGTCTAATCTAGCTGGCTGGTCCTACTCGACAAATGTGGTAAAGAATAATTGAGAACTTTCCCGGACGGCCAGTGAATACCAGAGGGAAAGGTTCGCAGATGTCTTATCCATAAGCCAGAGTTGTTCTTTCTCCGTACCTAATTACCTTCAGGCTGAATTGGCCTGTCATGTATTTCATACGAGACAGTCGTGAACCATTCTGAATTCACTTCACTGACTGATCGCCTTTAATCTAATATAGTTGTATCAATCATGTAATAATATATCATTCATAATATCTAGAAATTTTCAGGTCTTACGTGTTATCTGTTTCGAAGCAGCATAAAAAATATGTTTTGTTACAAGATTGTTTGATAAACTCAATTGCTCGGCAGAAATAGCAGCTTTTAACCTGGTTTCGCTACTTTTAAATTTGCAGATTCGTGCAATATCCTTAAAAATAGTGTAGAAAGGTTTCCGAACATCGAGTTTGATCCGCGACACTGATTCCACATGAAGGAAAGGAAAGGAAGAGAAAGTTTTGTGACCGTTTTAATGTTGGTGTTCCTTACAGTTTTATGTTTTAGCGATTTCTGGCACCATTCCTTTTATTATTTTCTTAGTGGCGCGGTGGCACAGTTGTCTAAAGGGTCTGCTTCAAGCGCCTTAGGTGCCGAGTTCGATTCCGCTCAAAGACGATCTTTGTTTTATTCAAAAATTCCATTGAACAAGGAATTTACCGCATTGCTTCAGACCGGGGTTGCTCAGTCCGTAGATCGTTGAATTCAAAACCGATAGATCCTGAGTTCAGGCCCCAGTCAGGATCAGACGTTCTTTCTTTCTAGGCTAAAAAATGAGTACCACTCTGTGGAAATGAAATAGGAAATTACACGCTGCGCCTATTACATGACTGTAGAAACTGCCTTTTAAAAAAAGGCACTCCTGGCTGATCGCGTGGAAACGAGGATCAGCACCGCGCCATGGACTTTATTAAGAAAGGGCATGAAAATAGCTGTCGTGAAAGTGAAGGAAGATCAACATTCTAAAAATGAGAAACTTTCCTTTTTTCCTTCATTCTTTTCATGAAATCGGTACTGGAGCGCAGATTTCTGTTTTCACGTCATCACTTAGGAGTGCCTTACTTTTTTAATTCAACCGGTGCAGGGGCGATTGCAGCTATGTGATAAGCATAGTGTGTAGTTTCTTTTTTCCCACAGATTAATACTCATCAACCTCTGAAGCAAGAAAGACAAGTGACTCGGCCGAGGCTCAAGTCGTGATCTTTGTTGGATAAACAGTAGCGGTCTGACATCTTGAACCAACTGGTTGGTTTATTTTACCTGCCGGCTGTCCAGTGTAAGGAAATCAAAGCCAGATGTGACCACGGGACTTGCTCCGAAGAAAGTATAGCGACCTTACTGACCATGCGAAGTACCTACTGCCGATGAAGAGTTACTCGACGGTTGTTTATGTTTACGTTGAATATTTATTTTAATAATATTTAACGGTAGAGAAGCTACATCGTTTATGGTTTTAGGTCCGTCGTAGTCCGTACATCGGTGAACCGCCATGCGTGATGTACCTGGCATCAGACGTTCGGTCGCTGGCGATCAAAATACACGGCAGTGCGGAGGCGCTTCAGAAACTGCAGAATAGACGGCGTACGATAGACAAGGCTCGTCAATTGTCGGTCCTTTTGGGCATTAACCCGGCGATGGCGTCGTACGTCAAAGAGAGACAGTACGAACGCGAGGCCGAAGAAGTGGAAGCGCAGCATGGCGCTGGTCATGTGGTTCTGACGGCCGTCTGCGTGAACGCCGCCAACTGTGCACTGAAGTTCGTTCTGTGGATATACACCGGCTCCCACAGTCTGTTCGCCGAGTGTGTCCATTCGTTTGCGGACACCTTAAATCAGGTATGCACTTTGTGTGCCTTTTTGCCTTTCGTAATTAACGTTAATTAAGTATGCTTGTTAATTACATATAATTTCTCCAGGACCAGACATTACCTTGTATTTCATCGACTAATTGTTAATCGTTGACGCAAGGGGGGACGCATATTCACTCTACGATTCCATGGTATCTGAGCATCTGCTGTGCCAAATGCATCTCGCTTCATTTCGTTCTTTGAAATAACCTCATATTCATTACGAACGAGATTCTGCAAGCATGTACTGCGTATTTTCTACCGTGGTAACATCGAGAATATGAATTCAACGAAAGAATGCATGAAGTGACGTATAATTCGTTCGTTTAATATTTGCGTTATTGTTAATTGTGCTATTGAATTAGAGAGAACAACAGGGTTTACACATTGTGTGCATTATCTCACTGGATGACCGAGGCAAATTGTTGCCCTGTGAGACGCTTGCATCAGAGAATTTGACCGTATGTTTTGTCCCTGTTGTTTGCAAGTCAGCGAATTGTTACTCGTTTCTCTGCAGGTTGCGCCGAAGCAAAGTTGTGAAGGAGGGGGATATTTTTTCCTCAAGGGAATTAGCGGCTAACGGAATTATTTTTTATGGTCTAGCTATGCATCTTCCGAGCTCGAAGCCATTACCACTGTACCGTCACCATGTAGCGTTGGCACAGTGTTGTAGAAGTCTGCTTCGAACTTCTGAGGTGCCGAATTCGATTCCGCTCGATGGAAATCATTGTCTTATTCCCTTAAGAATTTCCTTAAGCAAAGAATTTACCTCATTGTTTCAGATCTGGGTTGCTAAGTCGGTAGAACTTAACAAAACGTAACCAAACCGATAGGTCCTGAGTTCTAATTCCGGTCAGATCTCTCGCCCTTCGTTCTTCCAAGGTTGAATACCACAATATGGGATGGAAACAGGAGAAAACAAGCTATGCTTGCCACTAACCTATAGATAATAAGGCACTCCTGGCGGATTGCATAGAAACAAAGAGCAGCATGCACAATCAACTTCATGAAAAGAAGGGCTTTAAATGGCACAATCACGAAAGTAAATGAAGACCGACATTCTAACGGTGACAGACTTTCTTTCCTTTCCATCGCCTTCCAGGTGCGAGCAACAGTTGAACTCAGTAGAATAAAAATTGATTGGCGTCGCTCACAGTGTCAGCAGGAAAATTAAATTCAGAACATTTTCAGAAAGGCATATTACGGTAGGTCTAGATTAGCGATGAAAGGCTCGGTTGTTTCAGCGACGTGCAAACAAAACCTGACAAATACATATACAAGGCAGTGTGATACACTTTCTGACTACCGTAACGTCGGTTAGGTGAGAACAGCTGACCGTATCAAGTTTATTAGGTTTTCTGATAACATGAGGTTCATCACAGCTGCCGGTAAGAGAAAAGAAGCAACATTGTTCCAAAGTACTTTATTAAACGTTCAGCAGTCTTTAGAAACGAACGGTTTCAAGATCATAATAGATCTTCCAGAATTGTAGTTACTGTGACCTTGGAGAACATTGTCATTATGATTAACAACGCACCCACTCCTTCTGAATATTGTTTGCATATTCCATGAGAGGCATTGGATTGCATATAAGCTAAGTCGTGAACTGGGCGAACATTGTGACTTCAGTTTTCACGAAGGTTCAAGAGG